TGTGCAGACCAAAGTGCACCGTTTTTCCTCGCAATGCCCTTGCGTCTCTCTGCACATTGTCAGCTACAGCATGCTGCCGATTTCTACACCACGCCGTTGTCCAGAAGGCTCGAAGTCAGTAGGTGGGAGAAGTAAGCAGCCCAATTTCAGTCAAGCCAATCGAAGGGCTGTCCAAAGACTGGCTGAGCACAGGCAGAAATAAATAGAGTGCTGCAACCGGTCCGCGACTGTCTGAAACCTGCTGCCGAAAATCGAGGTTGCATCCTTAGCCTAATGGTCATGGTCTGTGTATAGCTGCACGGTCACTCTGCCTAGGTGTCTGCTCATATGCAGCCTTCCGCAAAGGTCGGATTCTCGTGCTTGAAAGCGTGTGCCTACCGAGAAAGATGGACAGTTTGTTTGGTGAAGGATGCCGATTGGAGACCAGCTGTGCAGAACTCAAGCTGACTCAGTTGTGAATTCGACTTCCTTCATAAGCTCAGAACCAGTCCTTGAGAAAAATCCGAGCCACGTCTATGTTTGGCAAGTAAGGTCGGAGACAGAGTGTTCGCATGGTTTTATACGGAGCACTGGCCTCGGGTTTGCTGAGCTGAAATAAGGTGCAGACGAACAAACCTCCGACATATGTCGTTTCCGATCTGCCGCTTCTTGCCACGGCATGTTGAGGTGGCACACCGCCAAAGTCCGCTCCCTGGGACGGTGTGGTGTGCAGTAGAAGTAGCCCTGGCCGATTCCAGCTGCTCTGTGTACCAGTTTCGCTGGCAGGTGCGAAGGCTATTCGAGCACGAAGGGGAAGACAAAGTGCGAGACTCACCCGCCCGAGTAGCAATTTGTGTTGACATAGCCACGCATGCTACGAAATGGCACGCGCACTTGCAGGCAGAAGTGCTCTGGGATACAGAGTTTTCCACGAGCCTGCATCCAAGGAAGACTTTGCTGCTCCTGAGTGCTCGTGCAAGCCGAGCGGTTACCCGTGACGAAAGCAGCCACTGTACAACATCTTCGGTGACACCAAACTTCTTGACGCACCGAACACCTGAAACTTCGTAGGCGCACGTAGCCTGTCTTCCCAGCCTGCGGGAATTGACTGTTCAAGCCTCCCTGCACCTTCTTTCCGTGCCTCCGTGAACGGTCTGCCCAGAAAGGCGAGCTGTCGACGAGTTGGCTGGCACCGATGCCTGGCTTGTCGCTTCCTCGGTTGGGCCGTGATAATCCGATGGGCTGCGTGGTAGACTTGTGAGCAGCAAGACGACAGACACCGGCGAGACTGAGAGAGAAAGCTTCCTGTGCTGGGAGTCAGACATGAGCGACCTGACCGAGCCCAGCAGGCAAGCAGCGGAGCTTCCAGCAGGTGCGGCAGGCCGCACCAGGGTTTGTGGAGGAGACAGCGGTAACAGACCTTCCCTCTCGCAGGTCATGCAGCCTCGGTGGACCAGCCAGGGAGTCAGAGATCTGTCGCAGCACCACCGATGTCTTGTGATGCTGCATGGTATGGTGGCCTGAATGCGGCCAAGGATCCGTCTTGACATGAAGGCTCCCGGGGGAAGCTTGGCGACTCACGAGAGATGTGGCAGTCGTCCTTTCGGGTTCCTCTGGGTTGCACGACCAGTGACGAAACTGTAAGCAACTTACACCCTATGGATCTACTTGATCGGACTGGAAAGGGAAATTCTGAGCAAGGTATAGTCAGGGAAGGATGAAAGTGTTCAGCAGGTTGCTGCAATGATGATGGTTGTGGGTGGCTACGGCCAAGTGGCTTGCAGGTAGCGGGGGTGGCCGCGCCGCCCGGCCTTGCAAGCCAGCAGCTCATGGGGGCAGACTCGCAAAGCTCGGCCGGGTGCATCCGCGCCTGTCAGGCACTGCAGGGGCTCTGGCCTCTGCCATGGTCTCAGAATGTCTCAGAATGTCTCGGCGCAGTGCCAGAGTTCCTTCCGTCGCTCGCGAACGCCGTTGAACTCCACCTGATCTGCGCTGAAGGCGAACTTGCCTCCATCAATGCCTCCGCCTCCACCCCCGCTGTTTGGCTGCATGGACTTGAGCTGTTGCATTTTGATGCGAAGCAATCAAGCCTTCCTCTGAGGGCGCCTTTGTCAATTGCGAGTGCTGCTCTCAGTATGTGGTTGCTTTGTTCAATTGTGAGACTTGTTGCTTCGCACATCTCTGTCGATCATGCACTTGCTGTATGCGACATTCTGCGGATCTATTTCGTTTATTTCAGCCAATTACTACTCTGCCACGTGTACACCGAGCACTTGTAAGAAACTTGAAGATCGTTGAAGTCTCATCTTTGATGCCTCGTCATGTCTTTGGCTTGTCAACTGCGTACCCGAATCTTTTGCCAAGTTGATCGTTTGTGTAACGCAACCAGCAGGAGGATGTCTGATTGCAGGCTGCAAAGTGCAATGACTGCCTTGGCAGGTTCTGGGCCAACCATGGTGGCGCCGCTGACAGCACCACCCACTTCTGCCCCCAGCTACACAAACCAAGCTGCACCAGCCGCGCCTACCGCGCAAGCCGTGCGGGTTGCTTCCACCGCCGCAACTGCGCCCCACACGCCAGCGCCTGCATCGGCTGCCTGGTTCTTACGCAGACCGCATCGCGTGGTTGCATGAAGCATCATGAAGCCCTTCAGAGGTCGCAGCCAGAAAAACGAAAACTGACACGAGCCACGGTCCAGAGCTCGGCTTTCCTCGGCAGTTAACTGCACACCAGCTTTGCACGTCGCAGCTAACACTGATGTTGCTGCCGCTGTTGTGTGGCCGGTAGCTAGTGCTGCTAGTGCTATCAAGAAGCAGCATGAGCAGCAGCCAGCAGTAGTCGTCGTCCTGGTGGTGGTGGTGGTGTTGGTCGGGTGTGCTGGGGTGTGGTGGTGGCGGCGGCGGTGGTGGTGGGGTTCGGTTGTGCTAGGCTGCCTGAACCCCTATAGCGCATGCACCGAACACTTTCGACCTTTGTTGCATTGCTGATACAGGCGGCATTCGCTGTGTGTGTTTTCCCTCCCGCCCTTTATTAGTTCGTTGCACCATGTGGCTGGTTTGCTTTCCCGTGACGGGGCAGTATCGTGTGTGAGGTCCCCGAGAACAGGTTGCTGCCGCGCCGGTGTGCGACTGGTCCAAAGTGTGCGGTGGAGGCGGTGGAGCGGCGGGTAGTGGCTGTGGCAGTGGTACTGGTACTCGTAGTTGTGGTGGTAGTGGTAGTGGTAGAGGTGCTACAATTAGTGGTGGTGGAGTTGGTGGTGGTAGTAGTAGTAGGGGTAGTAGCGGCAGTGGTGGTTGGAGAAGTAGGACGAGGCAGTGGAGGCAGGAGGTAGCAGGAGGCCTAGGAGGTACGAGGAGGTAATAAGAGCAGTAGTACCAGTAGCAGCAACAGTCGCGAAAGTATGAGTGGCAGTTCCAGTTGTGATGGCCACGCTTAAAGCTGTTGCCGCCTCTGCTGCTGCTCCCCGCCCTCCACGACGACGACAATTACCACTACAACTACAAGAAGATCACATTTCCTGTCTAAGTTTCGTGAGCCGCCACAGGTGATCCTAAGGAGCAGCCGCTCCGAGAGCTTCGGGAGTTCTGTGACCATTGGGGGCCTTTGCCTTGGAGGGCTTCTGCTGTTCCCGACAGATTCCAAGAACCTCTGATTCATTCAGTGGACTAAAGCCAGTGATGCAAAGACTTGCGACAGATGGGTCTTGAGGCGGCCCCTCAACCCAGCCCGCGCTTCCCATCCTCGGCCTGAGAAACACCTGCCTGAGGTTTGAGGAAAACACCCGCAGATACCTCGTGGGCCTTCCGGCGAAAGTCCAGAAGGCCGGCTTGCAAGCTCTCGTCGGAGCTCGGCTCTTCTCCGCGCCAGTGCCGTGACAAGCCCAGGTCGTGATAAACAATTTTGAAGCACCGCCTACTGTACAGTGCCATGCACCTATCAGAATTTGGTTCACAAGGCTGCATGCATACAGGAATGCTGCTCGTTCAAGCGCCTGAGGTGTAGATGCTCTGGTGCACAATTTCGCTAAGAGCATCCTGCTCAAACATGGCTACGTCCGGGCCTTGATGTATGAGTCTGGTATGAGTGCCAGTTTCTAGCGGCAGGCAGTGCCACGTTGATTGTAACAGTCGATAGTTTCCCTTCTGTACACTCGGCCGGGCAGTAGTGCCTGCTCAGGAGGATCTGGACATGGACCAGTTCGTTGCCCGTTGGTCCCTCCGCCCTTCTCTGCCTGTCTGGGGCTTCGTTGAGATGGACGCAGCATAGACGGCGAAAGGTGTCGCAAGGTTGTTCAGGATTCTCGTAGACTAGAAGTGTGCAACAGGTCATCTTGTCAAGCTGGCTGTGCGTGCTAGATGGTCTGACATGGCCGGCAGAAGGCAGTTGTTCCAGGCTGGAGCTTGTGTTGATTAGCACGCGTTCTCCCCCGGCCGCCATGCCATAATCCTTTCAGTCTTTCTCGCCGCTGACAGCAGAAGTCGGTATAAGTCTTCTTTAAGCTCAGATTCTCCATGTCGCCGCATGTTTGATGGAAAGGGCTTGTGCAGACTGTGACCTGAATCAGAGATGCAGAGAATATCAGGTGGTTCCCGGTCCCTCGCTATGAGGACACACTTCAAAAGCCCTGTGTGAGGGATCAAAGCCACAGTCGACAAGTCGGAGCATGATGTGTGACCAGCCACCATGCTGATGCTTCCTGGCCAGCGACGAGGCACCTGTCGCTCTGGACATGTCAAAGCAGCAGTCGGCCATTGCAAACATAGCCTGCTTGTTGGCAGTCGTGTGCTTGCCTTGTGGCGGCGTGGTGCCGTTGCACGCCACTGGTGCTTGTCAACCCTGAACACGTCTACCGGACACTGCCGTTTTTGGCTCATCTCAAGGGCGGCGAGCCACAGAGGCCCCAAAAGGCAGGAGCGCTGAAGGGTTTCCTTTTTTTTTTGGGTTTTGTGGAGAGAAAGCTACAGGGATCCCAGTGCCCTGGTGCGCTCTGCTGTGGAACGCTTGCGGAACGATGGGAGGCCATGGAGGACGCCAAGCGACCGGTCTTTGGGGCCGAGGCGGAGCGTGCGGGCCCCAGAGGATCCCTGGAACAGTGAGAAGGGTGAGGCACTGCACCTGACTCGTTGACCGGAGGCAAGAGAGAGCTCAGAAAAATCGTGTGCTCGGATTGCGATACCGAGGCATCGGCACCCGATTGGATGAGGCAACCGATGAGTTCCTCAAGGCCTAAAGCCACCGTCCTTTGGTGACTCCCTGCAGATGGAAGCCCGTGGCAGGAAACAAAAAGCTGCCGGGCCCTGCAGATCCCACCAGGGCAAGATCAGTTGACCGCAATGGAGCCCTCCGGCAGAAGAAAGGACGGGCAAGCTTCGTGGAATTTGTTGAATAGCTGCATGCTACCTGGGCTCATGTAAGGTATGTGGCCTATTTGGGCATCAACCTGCAGTTGGAGCCAGAGCTTTCCTGGGTGGCGCGGGAGACTTCGGCAAAAGACAGACTGAAGCAAGGGTGCATGTGGGCTCCGCATGTTGACCAAAATTTCCACGACCTTCGCCCTATCCCGAGGAGATGCTTGCTGCTCCTATGCCACCGCAAGCCGAGATGAAGGTTAGCAAGGTGCACGAGAGTCGTGTTGCCTTCAGTACGGATTGTAGAGGGGATTATGCGGAGCAATCGCAGGGATAGGATGGGTGTGAAACGACATGAGCTCTGGCAGGCCGGCGTGTGTTACTTTCACGCCGCCTGGCCTGAAAGTGACTCAAGTTCGGCCGTGTTGATGGAGTTCCGTGGGTTCCGCTAAGCACAACCAAGGATTTGCTCAATGATTATTACACCATCGAGCACCCCTTGACACAGAGGCGTAAACAGTGTCAAAGTGGCGCCCTGTGCTTGGTCGGACAGAACTTAGTCCTTCAGGTACCTGAAAGTCTTGGAGCGCCAGCGGCTAGATCTCTTGTGTCTGCGGACCAAGCCGTGCCTTGTTCGGCAACTGACCTCGCTGCCCCGCTACCAATGTCGGAGACCTGTGCTTTCGACAGGTCCGTGAATGGCCTCCTTTTCTCGCAGCCGGACATGCTCTTCAACAAGCAGTGGGGGACTCAGTGTTGCTGCTAGTGACTTGTGGCTTAGTCGTGGCTTTTTTGAAACCCTGACATCTGCTGTTTTGCTGAGGTTCCGCAACCTTCAGATTCCGTGTCAATCCTGCGGGGTGATGCAGTCCACGCTGAAGTGCAACCAGCCATTCGGCCGGATTTCGGTGTGATGGATTTGCACTCTTTTCGAGTGCGGTTCGGTCAGAATCGCTGCGGCCCTTTGTCCTGTGCCGAGGTGCCTCATGTCCTTCTGCCAATCTTGCGCAGATGCCCTGCACAAGAATGCACTGGGTCCCAGGAGCCTCCTCGGAATTTCCTACAATAGGCTCTTAAAGGTCCCTATGTACTAGAGGTGAGTGTGGGGGCTGCTTCCAGCCAGAACAATCTCGGGCTGGCATGTGACGAGCTGTGACGGCGCCTCTACTCGCCTCCGCAGTTTGGCTCGAACTTGGATTTCGGCTTGGATGCGCGATCATGCCGGAACGCCGCGTGGATCCAGACGACGGCAATGCGTATACGTCCCTCGGCGGAGTGAGATCTGAGCCGTGTTTCTTTCGGTTCGGAGAAAGAGTTTCCCATGATGCAGGTTTGACGAGGTGTTAGCCCACTACAAGGAAGGGCATGCGATTCCATCTGAAACGCTTCTGGGGGCTCTCTGTGTCAGGCAGAGGGCTACACCAAGAAAGAGGTGCAGAGTTACTGGGACCAGGCACTGAGCAATCTGACATGACAGCCTCACGTTCTTTAGTTGGCTGTTTCTCGCACAGTGGGACATGTCCACGGAGGAAGGATACTAATTCATGTCATGGGCTAGCATGGCTCTCAATCTCTGTCTTCCGTGCATATTGGCACGGTCAGAAGCAGAAATTCTGGTGTGGGGTCGAGGGAAATGGCAGGAACATGCAAGCAGGACGTTATTCTGTTGTTCGAGATGTATTTTTACGGCCCCAACTAAGCCGCGGGCAGCGTAGTGAAGTTATTCCAGCCGCAGCCGTCCACTTGTGCATGCAGGCACGATGCATGCTTGCCTGCTTTCCTGACTACACCTAACCCTAAACCCTAAACCCTAAACCCTAAACCCTAAACCCTCTTTGCTGTTGCGAGCTGCCCTTCGGAGGTTTGCACTGCGAAAGCGACGAAGGAGCCCAAGGCCGGACTCGATTTCAGTGACGTGGGGCTGCCTTTTCGCACCGTGACCGGGCTGCCAAAGCAAAAGCCACCCCTCCACCCAAGGCAGGTGCCGACTGCAAGTGCCTTTTGAGATGCATCGCGGCATCGCGGGAAGCGAGCTGCAGGCCAAAGCCGAAAAGCCGGCAAAGGCCAAGGCCGCGTGGACGGGCAAAGGAGTGCAGATGTGTCAGATCGGGGTCCGCGGCGCTGAGGTCAAGGCCGCTCCAAAGGCGCAGGCGCAGTTGCGGGCATTTTTTGGACTCGAAAGAGGCAAAAAAGGTGAAAATTGTTTGAGATCTTTCTTCTGCCGGAGAGGTGCAGCCGGAGCCAAAGCCAAAGGCCAAGGTGGGACCGAGGAAGGCCACGACATGTTGGTGAGCCTTGGAATAAGATCATGACAGGCCAAAGCTTTGCGTGGTGCCAAGGACACCGTGGTAGAGGCGCGAAGTTCGTGTTTATGTGGTGCAGCATCTTCCAGGTCGTAGTGCATCCAGCCTGCAAGAGGACCCGTCCGTGATGCGGACAAGCACACGTCTGCCCAGAACGCGGGCAGTTCTCAAGAACATGTGGCTTGGCAGACGGGCTCAGAGACGGGCTTCCGTCGGCGGCAGGGTGCTTAAAGCTGAGGAGGAGACGGGACAAGGACTGGCGAATCGGAGCCATCGTGTACCAGCTCTTCGTGGACCGCTTCGCACCACCCGATGACTTCGAGGCCAAGAAAAAGCTGTACCCAGATGCTGCGGCCTCAAGGAAGCTATGCGGTTAAGATGAAAGCATAGAATGGCAGTCATAAGTCTCGCCTCTCTTGAAAGATCGATTCGAAACATCTTGAGGAAGCCACCTTCCACGGCTGGAAAGAACTGCCGAAGGGAGGACAGCTTGTGGAATCGGCTGGATATTACAGCCACTGGTGCAGCACCTGGCCTCCGGAGCTTGTCCGGACTGAACAGAAGCGCTTGAGGCAACGAGCTGGCTTTCTGGGGTGGGGACTTGCCGAGCCTCACCTCAAAGCTGGACTACATCGACGGCTTAGGTGGGAACCCTGAGCCTCAAATCCTTGCATTAGGGCAGTGCCCAAAGTCCTTTCCTGCAGGAATCGATGTGCTGTACCTGCAGCCGATCACCAAAAGCTACTCCAACCATAAGTACGACACCATCGACTACAAGCAGTTGGATTCGCAGTATGGGACCGATGCCGATTTCAAGACGCTTTCCGACAAAGTCCATGACAAAGGCCTCCTGACTGGCATGTGTGCATCCGTTGCGACCTGATGGATATGTCAATGTGCGCATTTTTACTCTGAAGGCATGAAGTTGGTGCTCGACTTCGTGTTCAACCACTGCGGCAAGCGATGTCAGCTGGTGCAGGAGGGTGGAAAGCACAAACTGTGTGAGTCTGTGTGTGTGTGTTACATGGCAGGATGCCCTTGCAGATGCATCCTCTCCAAAGAGGAAGTATTTCTTCATGGGGGACGAGTACAAGCCTCATGGATACAAGGCTCGCTCGCGACTTCAGTAAAGCTGCCTTCGATGTACGAAGCTTTCCCGTCGTTTTTTCCAAGCAGAGCCGCTTCTCAGAGAGCCGAAGCACAACTCCACCATGAGGAAATGCAAGACCTTGCAATGAAGTTGGTGCAGGTGTGGGGCTGTGCGCCGGCTTTGGTCGAGTTTGCCTTGGAAAACAAGGCCAACCTTGGCCATGCAAAGTCACAAGTAAGAGGATCCTCCAACGATTCTGTCTGCGGCAAAGACATGGTGTACGAGCGTTGTAGATGCCAGTGTGCGTGGGTGTGTGGATGCAGATATGTATTCTGTATGTATGTGTCAATAACCATTTTATCAATCCGGCCCCGCGTATTGCTCGAAAGTCAATATGAGTCAGGCGGGCTTGCTGTAATTCAGCGTGTTCAGAAGTGTTTGAGCCAGACTTGCCCAGAGAGGCTCACGCATACACATTAAAACATTCAAGGTTTTGGTCCAGGTGCCCAGAGGAGAAGACCACTGTCATGGACCCTGTGCAGGAGCTGCAGAAGCATCTGTGGGATGCCCCAGATTCGGCCCTTGCCACCTGGCTGTCGAAAGGCGCAGTGAGCGATGGCGTACGAGCGGGCGACCGTTCTCGACATGCATGGAACAGGTGCTGATGGAGCGCGGCTGGATGTTGCCTCGGAGATAGGCCTGGCCAGTCGGTTCGGTGGCAACAGGAGCAAGTGCCGTGCAAACGTTTGGCCGGTGCAGAGGCCTGGAGCTACTGGCCTCAATCACACGCGCAGCTCACAAGTACAAGAAGGACAGCCCCTTCTTAGAGCTCAAAATCGTATGTCCTTGCAACGCTCACTATCGCAGGGCTCAGCATTGGCAGAATTGCAGACTTCAGGACAGCTTGGTGATTGGAGAGGTTTGGGCGAACCTCGCCAGCAGCAATTTTCAGTCGTGGGTCACCGATCCGCAAGTGATCCGCATACTGTTACTGCAGCTCATGGCATTGCCAACATCCAGCTGCAAAAGAGTCGAGGTATTCACCTCATTGGACACAGTGTATGGATGCAGTGACTTGGACTCCTAGCCTGTAGAACCTGTAAAGGAGTGTCATGTTTATGCGCAGCCTGCACGCGAAGAAAGGTCATGAGCCTCCACATGGGTGTGCTCGTCTACGGGCTGGCGGAGGGCGCTTTACCCGGCCCGTCTGCGGCACAAAGCCTGTCGAGGTGAGCTCGGGCAAAGTGTTTGGCCACATCAAGCATTGATCTCCTTAGATTCCTCGTTTCTCTGCGAGGATGATTGCAGATTCCAGCATGGACGAGGCCAATGTTTTGGTGGAGCCAGCCAGGGAGTTTAAAAGCCGACGAACCGACGGCCAAGTCACTGTGCAGGTGCTGAAATGCTGGATTGTCGTCAGCAATCACGACATGCCGCGATTAGCTCACAGGCTACCTGATCTGCAGGCTGAGCTCATGCTTCTATGCGTCGCTATGTGAGCCTCCTGCCCTGCCCTGTGCTCATGGCATGTCGCAGCCAGTCAGAGGCGCGGAAGTTTGCGCAGTGCCTGCAATTTACCTGGCCGGGATGCCCTTTAATCTACTATGGCGATGAGCTGGGATTGGAAGGCGGCGAGGACTGCCAGGTTTAGAATAGAAAGGCTCGTGGGAGATCGTGCCGGTTGGCAGGACCCTCACAACCGAGCTCCAATGCCGTGGGAGCGCAACAATGACCAGAATGAGATGTTGCAGCATACGAAAATGCTGATGCTAGCCCTGCCTTACTTTAAGTCCTATGTTGATGCCAGTGAGCCCCGGATTACAGGGAGCAATCATGGAAATAGATGAAACAAGCTGAGGATTCAGCTCCGGAAGAGCAACCGAGCCTTGAGAATAGGATCCTTGGCCGCATGAAAGCTCAAAAAGAAAAGAATAGCAAAGGCTTGTCAGAGCAACCAAGTTGGTGGCAGCCAAGGCGATTATCGGGACTTGCCTACCACGAAGCTGATGGCATTCATTCGCACCACTGATCGCGTGCCTGGGTTCAACATAAGAGCAGCCCAGCTGGGCTTTGGCTGTGGTCTCATGTGTCTGCTTCCAGGTCAGCGATGTCATGATCGTCCTTGCAAACCCTACATCGGAGGTCGTCAAGGAGCACTCATCTGAGTGTACATGTGAATCAACCACCCATGGGCTTGTCAGGAGATGGTAGTGGTGCCCGTGCCGGCCATTCTGGGCCACACGCTGTTCAAGGACGACCTTCCTGCAGCATAGTCCTGGTCAAAGAACGCATGTACTCCCGCATATTCTCGGGGCAACCACAACAGGCAAAGCGCCGACATATCGTCAGCCAAAAGGGGGAGAGCATGTAGCTCGCACCGCTCGAAAGATGCCTGCAGTGTCAGGATCAGCTGAGCGGAGAGGAGCTTCTGCTGAGAGTGTTTGCAGCAAAAGGGTGTCAGCATGGCACAGGGTGTGGTCGTGCCGTGCTCCGTTCAGGAGATGCGGCTGCTCGGCTCCACGCTCACCGTAGACGTCGCTCCGAAGACGGCCCCTCGTTTTCTAAATGCTGAGTTGCGCGGATCAGCTGGCGAGAGCGAAGTGCGTTGCAGCATGTACTCGATGCATTACTTCACGGAAGGGCAGTTGCTACAAAACCGCTTTGGTAGATGAGCGCGGCTCTTAAACTTGAGCTGAGGTACGAGTGTATGCGATGGTGAATGAGGTTGGAAACCCGAGCGGGGACCAGTATAAGCGCACATGGGGTCATTGGGCTTCATTCCCCAGTGTGAAGCCTTAGATGTTCTGGCCCGCTCAGAGAGCCTGGAAAGGGCGACCTGTGCCGGCTTGTGTGTGTGTGTGTGTGCAGTCTGCGTGTTTCTTCGAGACGGTGAACGGCTCAGTGAAGAGCTGTGGCGTCGGAGAAGATGTGATGTCTTCCTGCCTGTCCCCAACACCACTGCCATTACTGCGAGCTCTAAGCTCAACAACACAGGCTGTGAACAGGGCCTCAGGCTCTGGTGCTTCATGGGCAGAGGCAGAGAGATATCAACTTTTAAGTTTGCACGTCTCGAGAGCCTGCTGAACTTTGTGTGATGCCCGGTTCCTCGACGTGCCTGCCCTGCAGGGCTTGCCAGCAGGTCATGGATTCGAGGTCACTTTAAGTATATGCAGGAAAAGAGGTCGTGCGGCATGCTCGTGGGGCTTGTCTTCGAAACCTGTATGGTGTCAAGAATGAACAGTTGCGATTGAAGCCTTGCAGGAAGAACCACACCTTCCTCACCACCGCTTGCGGCAGCTTGTGCTCTACCTGCGCTGTCAAGAAGCCGCAGGTTTTCTGCGCCAACTGCGAGGCGGGCTTTGTGGATGAGGGCTTTCGTGACGGTGAAGTATGAACGATGATTGCATTCAAGTCGTACGGCCCAGCATGCGTGCTGTCACGGGTGGTCGTTGCACCAATATGAAGAGGAGTTTCAGTGCTCGAGCTAGGGTCAATATTCACACCATGATGCGCTGGTAAGTTTTCAGGACTACTTCTGCTTCAAGTGCTTCGAAGACATGCATCGACGTGGGAACCGACTGCAGCACAAATCCATGCTGGTGAGCGTGTCAGTGGTCATCTCAGATGATGTTAGGGAAGCGAGTGCGGTCGCGTGTTCAGGTTTGCATGTTGCCGTCACGGCACGAATGCTTGTCAGAAATGTGTAGAAATTTGTTGCGCTCGAAGGGGCGCGGGATCAAGATTCAGAAACTGTGAAGTCGGACGTGATGCTGTCACTTTCCCATCTCGGCTACGGTGTGCTCAGGATGGTGACGTGATAGAGCCTCAAAAGCGCTGCGAGGCCAGTCCTTCCGGTAGCAAGGGCAGAGCAATTTTTTATTAGATGTCCGCGAGACTTGCGTGCCCGAGGTGCTTTTGTATGTCAACGGACCATGAGCGCAAGCTGTGCAAAGCGACACATGCTGCAGGAATGTGAAGATCGTCCAGCTGCCTTTGCATGTGCAACACAGCTGAACATGGCCCAGGTTCGTCCGTTAGTAGGTGGTGCAAGTCAAGATTATCATAGTGCCCTGCCGTGGGCGAATTTCATGCGGTTTGACGCAATGGAGGGAGGAACCAAGATGGGTTTGATGGTCCGTACAGGCTGTGTGGCCATGGTATTTTTTAAATTCAGTTCTTCGGACGGAGACGATGAAATCTTAAAGGCGTTTGTAAGTGCTTGTCGTGCACCCGACAGAAAACATGCAGTGTCGCTCCCGTCGGCAGAACAGCCAGAAAACACAAAGCCTCTCTTGATGGGACAGCGGCCCAGACGCATGTTGGTTTTGAGGATTATTGCCTGGACAATTACTGCGTGCAATGCTTCTGGAAATGCCACTTCAACGGCCACTCGACTGCAGTGTGCTGAAGGGCAACGTCAGAATTTTCACCGAGACCTCTTGTCGGGAGGCTTGCAAGGTTTGGCTTGCCCGGATGCTTCCGTGACAAAGAGTTCATGTCCGACATTCATGCGTATAGTTCCAGCTGGCGATGCTACGGCAAAGGCCACCGGCGCCAGCATACGGCATCCAAGGCTCGTGCACATACCTGAAGCGGGTGGGAAAAATACCTGGAGCCGGGTCCATGCACACCGTAAAATGAACGGCAGCATCTTAGGTGCATAGATTCGTGCCATGTGGAAAGCTGCTAACAACTGTCTCAATTGTGCTTCGTCAAAGGTGACAGTCATCCCAACATCGGAAGCAACCTCAAACACTTCTTGTTTGTGCCAAAGGCTGTCTGGTTGACAGGCAGTTTCCAATCGACCCACCTCAACACATTGAGATGCTTCTCGATGGAAGGTGGCCGTGGTTCCCATGTGCAACCAATGCCAGAATGTTCGCGCCACGATCTTCTCCGAGCAAACGCAGGAGTTGATGTGCACAGACGCTGAAGTTGCAGTTCCATTTTTTGTGAGTTCGAGTGTGGCTTCAATGTATTAAGTGCAGAAAAACATGTAGTGATTAATTCAAAACCTACCCTCAACCTTAGCACGCCCGTGGAACCTTAAGGAATGCTTCACTATGCTTCACGCCAAGGGCAACCGGATGTTTCCTGGCATCACTCAGAAGACATGCGGGCCACGTTACAAGTTTTCCGTTCTCCGGCCTTCCGGACTCCAGGTTACACTTGTTCATGGACTCGATGGCTTACTCCTTAGCCTGGGGCAGTGGGGCCAGTCTCAAGTCCAACTCAGCAGAGCTGTCGCCAAAAGAAACGCTGCTAGGTTTGGGAATGTTCGTGTGCATAGAGCTGAGGATTTGCTGGTGCTCCTAGAACGCCTGGACCCTGCTTTTCAGGAGTCCCCCATGTGGTCCCTGGTTTAGCATTGGTTCGATTCTGCGGCCTTCAACAGGAGCACATGCGTAGAGCTCGGCCTCGTGTTCTTTGGGCACTTAGCCAGTTGCAAGGTCCGGGTGCACGCAAGCCAAACTGCCCACTAGCTGTCGGTGTGCTTGTGGATCTTTGCGGCAGGTTGGGTGAAGGGTATCGAAGCGCGTCGCAACTTCAAGAAGAGAAAGGACCTAGTTCGGACCATGAGAAGTGTTGAAGACGTTCTTGCATGCGACGTTGTTGGCCGAAGTGCTCCGAGTCTTCTTTGTCTGGCCAAGAAGCTGCAGGACGTGGTCTTGATGATCCAGCGGCGCTGGCGAGGTGTGCTGACACGGCGCCGCTTGCTGGGTGGCATGGCTGTCAAATTAAGTAGGACGTCTCCTCAAGCTTTCTTTGGCTAGTCTCCTTGTTATGTTTTTGCTCGTGTGTGTGTGTGTGTGTGTTTGTGCGTGTGTGTGGGTTTGGGGGTATGGCGAGTTGAAAGCCTGTCCCATTGAATCCAGGCATGCTGCATATGCACAAGTGGCGAAGGACACTTGGCCTTAGTACACCCCACATGCCTGTGCTTGGATGCCGAAGCTGGCATTCGTTGGCTCGTTCGGTCTTACGTAAGGCGCCAAGTGAACAACTATTTCCTCCCCAAGACCGCGGCAGAGCGACGGGCGGTCAAGCAGAAGACTACGGCCATGTTATCTGCCAAGGTGGGAGCAGGGTGGGGCTGAGGCTGCGCAAGGCGTCAAGGTGGGTGGTACCAGGTTACAGGTGGTCATCCATGCCCTGACCTCGAGCGCGCAGGATGTGACCACCCGTGCGGCCAACCAGTCATTGCGGGAGTTGCGGCAAACAATCCTTTCAACCGCCAATGCAGATCCTCTGGAGGAGTGCTGGGGTTGTTGCTCTGTCGTTCTGCTCTGCTGCAGATGTACTTTAGACCTGCTCCTCCACCATGCAGGATGCACAGCTGACCCGCGATCAGATGGAGGAGCACCATGGGACTTAGGGAACTCTGCCCCCACATCCTTCGGAGGTTCTGGGTTTGGTGCTAAATTGTGGCAGGCTTTGCCCGGAGCCGTGGACAACATGGCCGCCACTGTCTCCGGCTTTGGCTCCGGATTTGGCGGCGGTGCACCTTCGGGTGCCCAGACAGCACCACCCGGTGGCATCTCGCCATACACCAGCTACGAGCAGAGCTCGCGCTTCAATGGGGCGATAACGGGGCCGGCGGGAGCTGCCACGACGCAGGACTTGTCCAAAAAGGACATCCGCAACACCCGAGACAGCACCCTCCGGCAGATCACACGTCTGGACTGAGCTCGAAGCTCGACCCACGCGCTTGTCTGGTGGTGATGTTTTCCTCCTTCATGCAGGCCGTGAGGTGCCTGACCGTTAAACTATTCTATCAAGGGCTGAATAGGAGAGCAAGAGTCCCACTGGTCTGCAGAGTTTCACCGAAAGCCTTGCGGAGGGTTGGGCAGGTTTGCAGGTTGTAGTCGTCATCGCTCTCTTTCTGCACACTAGCTGCCCAGCCCTCCGATCATGCAGCTGGGTGGATAGTGTCTAGGATCCACTTGCATGTTTCACTGAGCCACTAGAGGCACAGAACTGTTTGCAAGTTGCATGCGTCGAGGAATAAGTTGTGGTAGGTTCAGACAAAGTCCCGATGCTAAGGCCTCTGTTTCCCTCACTGGACCTTGGCATGCTGTGTTTGCCCGCTTCTATCCGAAATCGTGGAAGGCCACAACGTATGGCCAGCTCGTGGCGTGGAAGGCAAGATATTGCCGAGCTCTTTGTAGCATTCGATTTGGTGAATCTCCGTGACTCGCATCTGTTTTGCTCAATGTGCAGCTTCGGGAGTGCTCACGAATCGAAAGCGATCTACAGCGTGGCTGGAGCTTGCTAAGTATTCTCCGCAACACGCAAGAAGAGGCTGCAAGCCTACGCAGGCCTGACAAATCCTCATCTTGTTCGCTGCCTTTCCTTCGTGCCATGGCTTCGTGCCCGGATGATGTAACATTGGATGAGTGGCCGAGCTGCACATGTGCTCGCATATGTGTCGTAGGACAGACGCATGTCTGCTCTGGACGCAGCGTGTCCAACCAGGTCGGGCTACAGCCGGGTGAGGTGTCATGGCACACCAGAGCAAATGGTAGCGCAGCTGCAGCAAGTCTTTCGGACGAATGCATCTCGAGAGTGACCCATGCCGAGCTTGCCAACCTGTCCAGCGTCTGTCCAGGTGCGCTTCATCGAGCGTGTCATCGCTTCATTTGGCTACGAGGTCTCGCCGCCCTGAGTATTCTGGCAGACTGCTCCCTCCGTAGTCCGAGAAGTAAAGCTGGCCATCGTAGAATGCGACAAATCTCAGAAGCTTCAAAGCTGTTTACATGCCTGCGAGGCTCTGCCGCGGACGTCTGTAGAGAGCTTGGCGCGAAAGCACATTAAAATCGACGGCTCTTTTCAGGCCTGGCTGTGTGGGAGGCGGGAGGGCCATCGTAATGGCTCTGTCTAGACGGGAGTTGTCGTTTTGAGGAGCTCCTGCAAGATCTCCGGGAGGCGCCTTGGCCATGTCATGGGGTGGCAGTCCTCCAGTCTCCGATGCGAGGAAGCTGCGCAGACGCCGCCGACAGCCTCGGCGCCCTCGGCGCCCTCGGCGCCGCCCCCCTCGGCACCCAGTGCCCACGGGAAATCTTTTTTTCCGGATGCCGAGCAAGCGCTGCGTCTTCTGGCTCTGAGAGGCTCTGAAGGAACGCTTGTACTTTCGTGGGCCCTGGGGCCGCCTAATATATCCTAAACCCCTAAACCCTAAACCCCTAAACCCCTAAACCCTAAACCCAAAACCCTAAACCCTAAAATGCGGGCACGTCCTTGCTAAGTAGGAGGCAAAAAAGCCCTAAACCCAAAACCTTAGTTTGAAGTTGAAGTGCGCAGCTGACTCGAGGTCCTGGAGTAGCTCCAGCCCCAGCTGCGAGCTCGAGTTCTACGCAAAGTGCTGAGATCTGCTTGGATGGCTTCAGCTTGGAGAGTATGGATTCTTCGGGGACTTTGGTGCTGGCATCCTCTCCATGGTCCTTGTTTCGGAGTCGCAGCTTTCAGCTCGTTATCCGGAACCCCCGAAATCCGGCAGTTGGTCTGCTGGTCTTCGTCAGCAGTGATCATTCTGAAGTGGCTGCAGCCGCGCAGACCATTGTAGCACAACTGGGCCCAAGTGTGCAGAGTTTGGCCCAGCCCGGTGTGTATGAGGTGCTGCAGAACAACCCTGCGCTGCTGCAGCAGCTGGTAGCCAGCCCTTCACGTGTGGCGACGGAGCTCTGCATCCCCACAGCACCTTCAGAGGAGGTCCATCCGGAGGAGGAGCATGGAGAATGCCCAATCTGTTTGGAGGCGATCCACCCCGGTGAAGCTGCGATGCGCTGTGCCGGTCAGGGGGGCGTTCACCACTACTTCCATGCCCACTGTCTGCAGTCTTGGGTTTCGTCATGCCGACTAGGACGTGAGGCGACTTGCCCGGTGTGCAGAGGCCAGCTTCAGATGAATGGGCAGCGGCTGCAGGCTTTCCTAAATGGCGAAGCGTCCGCTTCGCTCTCCGAGGACGACCGAACTTACCTGCAGAACATTGCGGATGGCCTGCGTGGGAAGAACCGATGGCAAGAGATGAACAAGCTCGAGAAGGCAGCCTACGCTGGGGGTATTTTAGCCGCCGCTGGCTGGGGCTTCATGCTAGGCTTCAACGAGCAAGAGCATCGCGTGACCCGCTACTTGGCACTGGATGTTCTTCCAGCAGAACATCGAGTGGCACAGGGGGTCGGGTGGATTGTCGGAGTGTTGGCATGGTATTTACGGAAGAACCTGCGCGAGAAGGAGGAGCAGCAGCGCAGGCGGGAAGACCGGAGAAGCTAGTGGTAACGCTCGGCCAGGTATCAGACTGGCCTGAGGAATCTTGATTCACGCAGCTCCCCATCCCATCCAAGCGCCTAGATGCTTGAACAGGCGTCAGACAGCGCATTGATGTTCCTGTCGGCTGCCTAAGGCAGCCAGCCATGTTTTGTTTGGGGTATCCTGATAGCTTGATTTAGTCGCTGGTTACGATGAGACACTGCACAGGTCAAAGTCGTGAAAGCGTCAAAACCCAAGCCCTCCGGTTGCACTCTGTTCAAAGGGCAGATTCTTGGAGAAGAAGCCGGCTAAGAGCAGGATTGAGAGGAGAGGAGCATGATAGACTTCCGGTCTGAGCCATAGCAAGTGTTCTCAAGGATGGCTGTGTCACAGAAGTTCCAGCTGTCCAGCCTAGCATAAGAGACAGCATGGAACTGCTGCGCACCCGAGTGTGTGAGTGGCAACCTGTCGGCATCGACTCGCTGGCCATCGCGCCCTCGGGTACTGGTTCATCACCTCGTCTGGCTGTGGGACGGGAGAGCCCAGGACGAAGAGATGTGTCCTTACTCGGCAGAAGAGCTCCTGTCTCTTTACACGAATCAAAAAGGGTCGCTACTAGTGTACACCGTTGCCGGACCCTTAAGATAAGCAAGATCAGCGGCATGAAGAATATCAGTGTCATGGCAGTACTTGCATCCTACGCCCTTTTACTGGAGTGGTAGCAAGCTTGCTTAAGAAGTCCTATCATTCACGAAACTAATACAAATTAGCATGAGAGGCCTCGGTTGTACTCATAAATGTTTCTCGTATATGCCCTCAGGAAAGCAGTACTGTCAGTATGAAGAACTGTATGAATAACGCATTCGTTGGACATCCTCCGAGTAGTAGTGGTCGTGGTGGTGGTAGTAGTAGTAGTAGTAGTAGTTGTTGTTGTAGTAATAGTAGTAGT